TAAAATGAAAAATGATCGGCAAATGATCGGCAAAATGATCTGCAAAATGTGATAAAATTAAGCATGACCGCTATGCTCATAGGAATAGCTTCGCGAGTTGCGAAAGCATAGCATAAGCAAATATCAATAGCATAGCAAAGCAAAGCAACATTTATAAAAAACGGAAAATTAAAAAAATAATAATAAAATAACAAACTAAACAAAATTAACAAAAGGAATTTACAAATTTAGTAAAAAAGGTAGCACAACAAATTTTCAATCTTTTTTTTTTTTCGTTAAATAAAGAGTCTGGGTTTCGAAATTCTATTGCGAATATTTCGAGATCGAAATCAATGAATTTTAGCCCATTGGATTCGTCTAGTCGTGAAGAATCGAATGAGAGTTGTTTCATAAGAAACGGAGCGTTATTAATCGAGATTGTGTATTTTTTTTTTTAATGAGCATGTTTCTCGCGAAGTTCAGTAAGTTAATTTCTTTCGAGGAAGAATGACCTAACGCTTGATTGTGATTTTGAACACTCTCAAAATTACTTTTTCTTTACCCCAATTAAAACTTTTTCACCTAATAAATAAATAAAGTGAACGATGAAGTTACACGAATCATCTGGAACATTAATTCTCTGTCATTTATTTATGCAATTTGAAGATCATAAACTTTAAGTGAACTTTATAACTTTTATATCAAAAATGGCTCTTAAACGCATTCAGAGGGTAAGATTGAAAGAAAATTACTCTGCTGAATAAAGGAAGCTTAAATAAAATTTTATTTACCTTATGAAATAGGAACTTAGTGACATCAACAGAAACCCTCCAGTTGGAATTAGCGCTGGACCTACTACCGAAGAAGATTTGTTTAACTGGACAGGTAAAATAGATCAACTGAATTAGTACTTTTTAACATCAGTCTTCTTTCTGATTAAACTTACGACACTTTTATCATTATTACTTTATAAGGTACGATAATGGGACCTGTAAGTATGATGGAAAGTTTAAATACTTTGAAAATTTTTAATGATTTGTTCAATTCATCATTAAATTGTTTAAAATAGAATAACAGTTCTTACAAAGGTGGTATATTTCGACTTAAAATTGAATTCTCTCAAGACTATCCATTTAAACCACCGTCAGTATGTATCAAATTTACCTGCTTTCATTTTGCTTCTAATTTTAATTAAATGTATATTTATTTTATTTTGGTTTTTTCGTTTGCATTTTAGATTAAATTTATCACTAGAATTTATCATCCTAATATTGATGAAGATGGCTCTATTTGTGTGAACTTGTTGAAAACGGACGTATGGAAACCAGCAACAAAGATTTCTCAAGGTCAGTATAAAATCTATAAAAGGTTCCCGAATTCAAAATTTTTTGTTTTTTTCCTTATTTTTGATGTTATTTTCTTTCAAATTGCAGTCCTTGAGGCTATTGCTGATCTCCTTGAGAGTCCAAATCCTGATGATGCTTTAGTCGCGTCTGTTGCTGAAATTTATAATACGAACAGAGTAAAGTTTACCAAGACAGCTAAGGAATACGTGAAAAAAGTGTGTATTTCTTTCTAAATTTTTGATTTCTTTGTAACATTACTAATAATTAATTTGTTTTATTATCAAAGTATGCTTCCTCATAGATAATCTACGGATTCTGTTTATTAACATGTACGCATTTGATACGTTCATACAATGTAGAATATTTCAACTTTTAATTAAATTTTTATCCTATAACGATCGCTCTTCTTTATTGTAAGGATCTTAATCTTTTTATTTTTATTTTGGGTGAAAAAGATTCTAAATATTGCAAAAACATTAGATATTATAAAAATAAATAGTTTTTGTTTACGAATTATTTTCCAAAAATGTAGTAATTTTCTTACCATAATGCAATCAATGCTTTTTTGAAACAATACCATACAATCTCCTTTATAATCTTTTACGTCATTTCCATCATTTCGTTGTTCTGTTCAATATTACTGGATCCTTTCTTACTCATTTCATTCTCACTACCAGGCTGTGCTAAAATTTTGGCCGAATGTTTTATTTCTCCATAATAGCGTTCGTTACATTTTGTCTCGAGAACAAACCTTTACTTGAAATGCCAAAGTTAAAACTTAGCAATTTTTTCTCGTTCGCTTCTTCATGTTGAAATTGTTCCATCATATCAATTTCATCCAATTGTAACATATGATCGACAAACACTCATTCCATTATATAAATTTCTTTTCATATTTCCCAACACAATAGTTAGACCGAATGATTCCAAAAAAACCATGAGAAGCAACTGTGTTGAAAAATGGCCGTAATGGTTTCAAATAGAACTTGTTTGATTTCTGATTTCTTATGATACTGACTTCTTTGATTTTCTTATTGTATTGATTTCGTTTTGTTTATTTTTCTGTTACAAAATAATGGAAATAACAGTTAAAGCATGAAAAAAAAGGGGGGTTTAGGATGAAAAAAAAAACTTCATAAACTAGCATTTCTGCAAACCATGGAATTTGACCTCTCATAAACAGTACATGTTTAACGAAATCTATCATCAATTTTTGCTGCGCAAACGATAACCATGAACCATGTTACATGTTACAGTAAAATTTGAAAGTCGCGTCAATTGATCGGCGTATCATAATTTAAAATCGTGTTACGGAACTTGTAAATTTTAAAATATTCTTTCTTCATATAATTCAAAATAAAGGAAATATGGTAAGTCCACTAAAGAGTTTACTATATAAGCTATTTGACGAATACACTTTAACCATTGTAATTTTTAAATATAGGATCCTTTCATAGGACTTGCAATATATTTAGTGATTTTTAGTTTCATGATTTTTGTCTTAATAATGGGACCTTCTTCCCGTTTCAGGTATAATTTTTAATTGATCATATTTTTTTTTTAAAACAAATTAATGTTAAAATTGCTTTTGTTTCTTTTTTTTTAAAAAAATAGAAATGGTCCAATTGGAAAATTGCATAACTTTTTGACGGTAACTTTGATTGAATGGATAGGGTTAGTTATATTTAATTATCTTGAGTTTATTCAATTTTTCTAATTCACGTTTGAATTTTAGGTATTCTTTTCGACAAGTTTGTGGAAACCGTTCTTCAGCGATCGGCGATCGTCTTTATGTTTATTTTGTAGAAGAAAAAAATCCAGTGTTATTGGTAAGAATAGAATGGAATCTGTACATTTATCTATTATATCTAACAATTGAACCCTTATTATTTAGATAGTATATTTAATACTTCTAACAGGGTCAAATTTCTTATTTTTTGCAACTGCGTGGCCCCATATTCCCGGACCATATTTATCTAATGCGCATGTGTAAGTAGTGTACGTGTCATGAAACAATTCGTCATTTGTGATTAATAAATTCCAATAGTATATTGTGATTAATTATTTAATTATCAATATTTTTTCCTGACAGATATCTCGTTCCAATAGTTATAACTTTTACATATGCTTCATTTTTTATTGCATGTTGGAGTGATCCGGGCCGAATTACAAGTGAGAATGTTGATAAAGCTTGCAAAATGTTCAATTATGATTTCTTGACATTTGAGCCAAAAGAATGTAGAACATGTAAATTTCCAAAGTAAGTTTTCATAAATACGTAAGCTTTATATAGATTTATAATTTCAACTAATTGTTTTGAAATTTTAATTAACAGACCTGCTCGTTCAAAACATTGTTCTCTATGTAAAATGTGTGTTGCCAAATGCGATCATCACTGTGAGTTGTTAAAATTTAAATATAAATTACATTAATTACATTGATTCTTTAATTGAAATGTTATTTAACGTATTTAATTTTATATTTAGGCTCATGGATTAATAATTGTGTTGGCTTAAAAAACCATCGCTATTTCCTTCTTTTTCTATATGCTACTATTCAAATTTGTGTGTATGGAGCATATTTGGTTTATTATATTTTTTGGGGGATATCCAAGAACATGAATTTAACTGAAGCTTGGATTACTTCTGTAGAGACTAGAAAGAGGGTTAGAATTTCAACATATCAGGCTGTATTAGTACGTTAATTAATCTTTCATCTGTTGTCTCAAAAATTGGTTATAACTTAATTAAATATATTTTTTTTCATCGTCATTTTATAGTTTCTGGTTCACCAGGAAAGGGTTCTAGGTGCATTAGGTATTTTTGCCCTTCTTGTTGGGTTGGTCATATTTATTTTCATGTGTTATCAGCTTCATTTGGTATATAATGGTACAACAGCAAATGAAGCGTTTAAAAGGGAAGATTTGGAAGAAATAATAATGGACGGAGAACTTTGGGTTTTTGATAAAGAAGAATTAAAAAAGCATAAAAAGCATAAAAAGAATAACGATGATCCAAAATTAAAAGGTAAAACCACGGCGGTTTATTGGGTGCAACCTGTTAGACGAAGACAGCACAAGTCATCAGAAGGTGAGGAAGAAGTCAGAGTCAATGGAGGGAATAGTAAGCAAGTCGGGAGACAGGTTAAATCCATATCTGAAATATGCAACATTTACGATCAAGGACTTTGGGGCAATTTCAAAGAAGTTTTATTTCCACCTTCTTTATAACTTGATAATAATTTAGTTATATTCCCGTATATAATATTTAATTAATATAAGAGACGATCATTTGATTTAATATTTTGTCACATGAGAATTGTAAAAGTAAAAGTTGACGAATCCGTCCTAACCAGTGATAATTCGGTTACGTTGTTCGTAGTGCAGTTTTGTAATCTTTGTGCAGGATATGATGATTTTGTACCAACTTATTTTTTTGAAAATTTAAGATTTTATAATTTTGTGGTAAAAAAAAAAATTTTTTGGTATGATACCATATCATAGATATAAACCTGGCGAGAAAATTTAGGTTGAGAGAATTGAAGTAAAACCTTTAATAAAATAGGTCAACATTTATTCGCGTGTTCAAATTACATTATATCTTTTCGATTGTTTATAACCAAATAAATTTAAAACATGACTAATACGACGGAGAAGTTTTTAGCCGAAGTGAATACTTTATATAATTCTCGAGATAAAGCAAGAAGGGAGCAGGCTGACTCTTGGCTACAAGCTTTTCAGAAGACGGTAAATTATTGGCGATTACTGTTCTAAATTAATGACAACGAACATTGTTAGATTTCTTCACAAGCATTATAAAGATTCCCACTTTTTCTTTTATAATGTCGTCTACTGCAGTCGGAAGCTTGGACAATAGCAAATCAAGTATTAAGATCTCCCCAACTAACACCTGAATCGGAAGCAGCGCGTCATTTTTCAGCAGGTACTTTTCGGCAAAAGGTATATTTTATTATATTTATGTATTAATTATTTTTGCATTCCAAAAAAAAAAACTTTGACGCGTTACCTTAAATTTTATTACTAACATTTAAATTTGAACCTTTTACATACCGATCGTTAACGTAGGTAACACTTGACCTAAATCAGCTTGACGTTACAGCTCGCATTACCCTTCGCGATTCTCTTTTAGAACTACTATATCAATACCGCTCCGGTCCACGATTGATTATCACCCAATTATGTCTTTCCTTAGCGTGCCTTGCACTTCAAATGCCTGAATGGCAAAATGTTTTACATCAGTTTACAGAATTATATGGTAAGAACCCAGAAACTGTAAATTGTTTGCTCGAGTTTCTTAAAGTATTACCAGAAGAGATCAATACAAATAATCGGATACCTATATTGGTAAGTTAAAATTATATTGTTTAAGAATTTATTTGACATCTTGATTTAATTGATCGATATTTTATAGGATGAAGATTATCGCGTGCGATCCAGGCAATTGTTGACCGATAATTCAAACGAAGTATTACAAATCCTTTTGGTTTATTTACAAAATTCGGGTAACTATAGTTGAGACGTTCTCCTTATTTATTCATTTTATAACAAGTATATCATCTAATTCAGGATTATTTTTAGGTACAAATACTGATTATCAAAAAAAGGTGTTTGAATGTTTTCATAGTTGGTTACAGTCTGGGGATATTGCAATTAGTTCTATAAAGAATAATCCATTTTTAGGTCTTTCATTTGATGCTTTACAATCAGATGAATTGTATGATATTGCGGTGGATGTTGTATGTGAAATAATTTTTGAAACGCAAGATATTCCTGAAACTATGCCAGTAATTGAGCAAATATATCCGCGGTTATTGCCTTTAAGGGCGGCGTTAAAAAGAGCAATGGAGGAAGATAATGAAGACAAAGTGCGAGGATATTGTAGAATATTCACGCATGCTGGTGAATCATATTTAGATCTTATAGTTCAACATGCTGATGATTTCAGAAGTATTGTAGAAAGCATAGTTGAATGTACTGCTTATCACGATACAGAAATAGTTAGGATAACCTTTTATTTCTGGCATCGTTTAGCTGACACATTGTATCAACCACGCCATGCGAACATTAAAGATAAATTTAAGGATATATATTCAAATTTGGTTGATATTATGATCAAACATTTACATTACCCTAAAGATCTTTCAAATTGGTCGGCTGAGAAACGCGATGAATTTCGTGAATTTCGGCATGTAATGGGTGATGTTCTTAAAGATAGCTGTCTAATTGCTGGATCTGCGGAGTGCCTATCAAAACCATTTGCTACTCTAGCAAGACAACTTGCAAATTCGGCAAACGGAAGTACTGTAGATTGGCAAGAAATTGAAGCGCCATTGTTTTCTTTGCGAGCTATGGGATCAGAAGTGGAGGATGAAGAAGATGTTTATTTACCACAAATTATGCAACTTTTGCAACAGCTGCCAGATCATCCAAAAATTCGTTATGCAGCTACTTTAGTGATCTCTCGATATTCTTATTGGACAAGGCATCATCCCCAATTCATACCATATCAATTGAATTTTATTTCTTCCGGATTCGATAATGAAGAAGTTTCTGCTGCTGCTGCATTGGCATTGAAATACCTATGCAAGGACTGTAGTGAGGTATTTTTGAATATATTTATGTCGTGATTTTTCAACTGAATATATTTTAACAATAAATAAATAAATTTTAGTTGCTGATTGAATATCTTCCACAACTACATCATTTCTATTTCAATGTTACAAATACGCTTCATGGAGTAGATTTATTTGAAGTAACAGAGGCAGTTTCGCATGTTGTCGCAGCTGTTCGTTCAGCGGAATTATTGGAAGCATTACAAATGTTTTGTCTTCC